TATGTTTTAATTAATTTTTAAATAAAGATAAAATAAAAATAAGTGTATTAAATAATATTTAAAAAATAGATTTTTTAAAAAAATAAAAAATTAAATTTAAACACTTTAAGTTAGAAATTAAGTTTACCAAAGTTCATTGGGAGTATATTTAATTATTTGGTTAAATCAAAATTAATCTTAAATTCCTCACAACTCTCGTACCTCAAAAAAAAACAAGAGAGTTTTGGGTTTACCATCTTTTTCCTTTCCTCTTCTGATTGATTCAGTTTATAACTGCTATTTTTGTTCGTTGTAATTATGATTGAAGATATAAGAGTGAAGTTGTACCTCATCAAACCAAGGACTCCAGGTGTTGGCATCGTTGAAGATCTACAAACACGATTGGAATCAATCGTTTCAGCTCTTAAACTCTTTCCTTCGAATATTAGAAAGGTGTCGTGGTCACCTAATACTCTACTTTCACTTTTTATTGGATGGGGTCTCGGTAAGCAATAACGCCCACTCAATTATCCTTATTTTTTCTTCCTTTTTTTTTTTGGCTATATCTACATTCTTGTCTAATTTTAATCTTAAACTCAATCTTAGAAGGAGTATAAAATTGTTGAAACAACAAAGTATCCATAAAATTTTTAAATAGATACTAATTTTTTTATAAAAAATAAACTAAATTTTATAAATATCAAATAAAGTACATTAAGGAGACGTTTAAATCATATATGACTTCCTCCAAATCTCAATAAAGTTTTTCATACCGGGACTATTATTCATGGTGCTATTGCAACTTAATAAGTAATTTGTGTTAACTCAAACCTAAGTTACTATAAGTCTAAATAAATAACCTAAAATCAAATTAAATTAAAAGATTTGTCCCACAAGGAAACAAATCTATTTGACCATCTTTTGCTTTGTACTTCAAAATCCCAGCACACTACACAATAGGTAAGAATACAACATCAAATCTGCCACATCCCTTGATTTTAGGCGAAAAGAACGCAATCCAATATTTTTCAACACACGGCCCACCTTGGCAGAGTGATAGCCACCAACAACCACCATTGCAACTCATATTCCAGCCACCAGAGGTGGAACTAGGAAAAGAGACCCTTTTTTATTACAACCTAATTTTACGATTTTTTTTTTTTTTTGTGCGAAGGGATTTAGGATAGTCCCTTCAATCCACCACAATATAAATCTCATTTAATCCTACAATATACTCAACTCAACAATTCCAACAGATTTGATGGTAATATACAACAACTCAACAAATTAATAAAAGCAGCTTTAAAACATAAAAGATCTTTATCTACCAATTGTTTTTCCTTCAAAGAATATAACAATTTCAACTAAAAAATTTAAAAAAAAAAAAACTAAAATTCAACGAGTATATACTAAAATTCATTATATCTCACAGAATAATTCATTTGATGTTTTTTAACCTACAAAACAGTTATGCATTTGTAAGTAAATGGCAAGGGGAGAAAAGGAAAATAAAAGTCCAGCAAAAAAAATTCAAACCTCATATTACAATATGTTTAAGGTATTCACCTACAAAATTGCAAATTTAAATTAGTTAGTTTATGAAAATATTAAAATTTATTATATTTTCTACCAAAAATAGCAAATGATAATGAAAACTAATCTAAAACCAGCAACAAAACTGCAAAACAACGTAAAAAAAAAAATTCCAAAAACCAGTATAGCTATATTAAAATTAAGAAAAATTATAATGGAAAACAGCTAAAAGAGCTATAACTACTATTTTTAATATAAAAATACTATAATAATTATATAATTATTGCTTCTTATCATGTGTTTTAAAGGTATAAGATAAATAAATCTTAATTTACA